ATTGGTCCTTCTCAGTTTTTATCTTCATCAAGGGCACAACAAGGTTTTCCACTATGCTCAGGAGCTCATCACTGAGAACAGGCAGCGTTTTGATAAGTCGAAGATAATTTGCACGATGTTTCCTTCTCTTCTCTCTTTTAGCGACATAATCAGTCACTTTATCCTAAATATCATTACCTGTTTTCATTTTCTAGTAGTTCTGAACATTCCGACTTTATTGTAACAATTTTGAAAAAACTTCCTACAGTCCACTTTTTGGGGCCAAAAATCAAATTTTTGAATCACCTCAATTCCATACTTCTTGCCCCATGCTATGAACATCTCCTTTAGCTGGTTATAAGACAGGTCCCATCTTTTTTGCATTTGCTTGTATTCCTGCTGGGCTTCGTCGGACATTCGTTGAAGAAATGGGGGATCAGAGCAAAGGGCAATGGTGCATGTGAGAAGAAGAATCAGGAGCAAATGCATTATTAAATAGCTGAATGTGATATATATTTAGCAACTAAAATCGGGACAAAAATTTCATCATTTATGAGAGTTTGACAAGATTTAGGAGGTGGAAAAAAAACCAGGCGAACTTATTGTTTATATGAAGGTAGCTTTCTTATAGTATATCAATTCAATTTGCTTTTCTCACAGACTTCGTAAAGTCGTTAATATTCCTTTTTGAAAGCTTTGCATGTATTCTCAATGCTTTGTCACTTTTTATAGTACTTGGGAATCGCACAGATTCATTATCTCCCGCTTTCTTCACACGGTGTTTCTCTGTTTTCCGGAAGAAAACACAATGCTCTCCGCTTCTCACGAATCATCGATCGTGCTTGCAAATGTCAGGGGCGGGTGTGTGCCTAATATATTATAGAAGCTTTTAATTTAAGTTTTGGAACCTCCTGTACACACTGAACAAGTAAATGCTCAAATTACTTTGCAGTACATATATTGAGTACTTATATAATGCATTGAAGTCCTAGCATCTGCAAGCATTGGCAAAAATTGAAAACTCTTTTTCTAGAAATTTTGACCTTGCGGGTCCGAATTACTACGGCGTTTCAAACGAGAAAACGTGGTCATTTTCGAAATTCACCTGCTTTTTTGAAGTAAACAATCGGGTAGGCGCACAACATTCAGCCACTTTCTAAACATCGTTCCGCCAGGCGTGATATGTTTATATTGGAAAAAAACTAGATGCAGAAAGAAGCGCTATTGAGTTTCTTAAGTTTAAAACTTCAAATTTAGCGTCTAAAACTTTATTATGTATGATGTTATATTTATAGTAATAGACCTTTTACAATAAACACTCTGTATTATTTGTTGCATCTGTGCTCCAATGGACTAATTTGAAAGGACATCTTTTGAGAAGAATCATGAAGGAACAGCTTCAGTTTTTTTAACGGAAAGGTACTCGATTCCAACAAATAATCAATGCAAGACCCGCTTGCCTTCTACCTGCTTTTTGGAGAGCGTAAATTCTTTGTGATTTTCTACTAGCCGAAACGTCAGAAACGGTCACAGACTCACGCTTCTTTCTTTTGCTGATTACATATTAATTCCGCACAAGATGTAAAAAAAGAGTCAAGCTTTTTTATACCTTAATAAAAATACTAGCCCGAAGTGAAAATTGAGCAATTTGCCAAATATTCATACTTTTATGCCCTTCAGAGCAGATCCTGTTACGTTTGCGCTCGTTGAAGTTTGTAAAAAGCGAAAAAGAAAAAAGCAAATGATTTCATGGCAGATAACCTTTATTGATCTTTTATTGTTTGAGTTAAAGAATTAAATCTTATTTCAATCATCCACTATAGATGATGTTTAAAAGAATTCTGCGAGTACTGCAGAAGACTCTTTCATGCCAGCCCAGGGTATCGAATCTCGTCCGACTCTTCGTCGCAGCCTCCTTGGCCTATTTGCCAATTTCCAAGCATATGACATTATTTTGTACTCCTAAAAACATTGATGAAAAGCCACAAGTACTACTTATTTTGTACAGACTTATAGAAACTTCTCACTCACCAGCTCATGTTCAGATAGAAATGTGTTTCTTTCACCCTTTAACTCATTTAGAGTTTTATTGCTATTCTCCACGATGCTTATAAACTTTTTGCTGAGAACAGGTAGCCTGGCTATCAAACTCGTGAATTTCTCATAATGTTCATGTCTGCTTTTCTCCATCTCCTCTATAAACTGTGCCACTTTATCCTGAACAAAAATCTAACTACAT